TCTCGTCTTTTCTGCCTTAGGGGGGGGGTGGGGGGGGGGGGGGAGCACGGCATCTTGCATTTGAGTAAATTTAGTAAATCTTAAAATGTGAATAAATCAATCCTTAACAATGTAAATGAATTATTAACTTTAATGAGAAATAATGTTAGTGAAATTTGTGGCCTTAAGACATATTTAAAGTTATATATACTTTTTGAATGAACTGATATGAACATGAATATGAAAAGATCTAAAATTAGTCAGCTTGAATATTTCAAGGTGACTGCGCCAATTTAGGTGAAAGAAAAGGGCAACATTTACTATATCATTTCAACTACATTGACTATGTTTGCATGTTCAGCTCAAACAGGTAAATATAATTTAAAACTAAAAAGTACTATAACAACTTAATATAACAACTTTACATTCAATAAAAATCTGGTAACCACAATGGTTTTCAAATGTCATAAGATTTAACTTAACTCTGGATGTTGAAAAGACCTGGGTAATTAAATATAAATATACTTCACATTGGCTTCAGCTACATTTGTCATCGTACCAGGCAATTTCCGAAGAATTTCAACAATATAAATTTTAATTTAATATTAAGAAAGTGTTATCAAAAAACTCCTTTTGCTCATTCCCCATTACCAAGATCCACTGATTATTTCATATTACCTAGCACAACTAAACTTTAATAAAAATAATCAGATTTAAGCACCTTATATTGCTGAGCTGTATAATCATCTTAAAAATTGATAGGATATTAGTAATAATTTTAACATAATATATTAGATGCAAGTAAAAATAGTTTTGTCTGATCTAGCTTAACTTTCAGTTAGCTACACACAACCTAAACAATATTACTGCAAGCCTTAGCTAAGCCAATAAGTGTTCTGCATGATACTGTTTATTACTTCTCAGAAGGATAAGTTATAATGCAGTATAACTGGGGGGCTGTGATGTCGACACCCACACAGTCAATTGGGTCACCAACTGGCTGGAGAGCCGCACCCAGAGAGTGGTGGTGGATGGATCATTTTTGACTTGGAAGGATGCGGGCAGTGGGGTTCCGCAGGGCTCGGTCCTTGGGCCCGCACTGTTCAACATCTTCATCAGTGACTTGGACGAAGGGGTAAAAAGCACCCTGTTCAAATTTGCTGATGACACTAAGATATGGGGGGGATACGCTAGAAGGGAGGAATAGGCTGCAATCAGACCTAGACAGGTTACAAGGGTGGGCAGATGAGAATAGGATGGGATTCAACACCGACAAGTGCAAAGTGATGCACCTGGGGAGGAACAACCGGCACCATACCTACAAGTTGGGGAACTCCCTTCTTGTCAGTACAGAGGCAGAAAAGGATCTTGGAGTCATCACTGATGCCAAGATGAACATGGGCCGGCAGTGTGGGGATGCAGTCAGGAAGGCCAACCGTACCTTTTCATGCATCCACAGATGCATCTCAAGCAGGTCCAAGGAGGCGATCCTCCCCCTCTATGCGGCACTGGTCAGGCCGCAACTGGAGTACTGCATCCAGTTCTGGGCACCGCACTT